CGAACGTCCGCGATTTCATATCGTGCACACCATGAGGTGCACCATCTCTACAAATTTAAAAGCTTTTCCATACAACTGTACTTTTACGTACATTTGCTTCTGTATAGTATCGGTATTATCTAGTAATATTTTGATTGTCAATTATCAAACGTTTTTTATTTTAAATATGGTACCTCCATATTTAAAATAAAAAACAAACGACGATCTATCCGTTGACAGACAGATGTCAGTCTATTATTACCTTTATAAAAGTTTAAGCGCCAGAAAATATCGTATTAAAATGTTGACTTGAAGATAGAATTCATCATGAGGACGAACATAGACCATCGTTTATCTTTAAAATAAAACACGAAGTAGCAGGTAAGAGATCGTCAAATATAATCGCCAATAAATATAAATTGCGAATTGGGAACTTTAAATCGGGTGTTATTTTTATGAAACAATATAAAAGCAATATATTTTTCATCAAATCTTAAAGAAAAATGAACGCCGAGGTAATATATTGCGTGTAAAAAGCGAGCATGAAAGCGGTCCAAAGACTTATTTGCTGAGCGTCGACGAAACTCTGAACCAGAGTAAGTAATTCCTTCTATCAAAAACTCGGCAGAGTGTTTCCTTTAGCCGTAAATAGAAGCTTTCAGTTCGAAAGTTACTCGCAATAAGGAAAATAATACGGGAACTGTTCCTCAATTTAAATTGTATGATTTTTGATTGGGTGGGACAGGAATTTTATAATATAATTATAATTTCGGTTGTACAAGGGAACGTAGGGTTACGGGAGCTTAGATTCGCAAAACTCAATTAAATGCCGAGTTGCCGTAGCGCAGGAGCAACGCAAATTAAGTGGTTTGCAAAATTAATAAGTATTATATTAAATATCTTTTGAAAATATTATCTTCAAAAGATATTAAATATTATATAAATCGAAAAATTAAATGATATATAAGTGAAGGTGCAAAAGATAATTATTATATATAAAGATGTATTTATTGTGATATAATCGTTTTTTAAATACTTGTATTAATTATTTGTGTCGCGTAACTAAGTAACTTTTAATTATACTGGCTGTGCTTGTGACTTTGTATCTTTGGTATTGGAAATGACAAAAGTTTTTACATTTTTCTTTGTAAATCAATTGGAATAAAATAAACATAAAATTTTAAGTGAAGCTTACCATTGCAATACATCAACGAGAACCATACCAAATCAATTAAGTACTTTCTAAGATTACAGTCAAAATTATTGTTTTGGGTTCTTTTGCGTTGATAAAGTGCCCCAATAATAAATTTAATGTATAGACAGGGATCTTTATTATGTGCCCAAATAGTAATCTCTAGATAGTAATCTCAAGTTCCGCTTATATATATATATATATATATATATAATATAAATATCTAGGGATCTTAAAGAGATGTGGACGTGTAATAAAATTAAGGCATCTTTTTTGTTGTAAGCAATATTTTACTAGAGACAAATGCTTATGTAGAATTTCCTCGTATAGTTGAACTGTGCCAACGATATCTCTTTGCCATGGGCTTTTGAGTTAGGAACTTAATATTCACACATTTAGTATCACAATATACCGCATCCATGACCCCAATGCCGAAGAATGGGACAAGAGGTTTATAATGTAAAATAATGGTCAAAATAAACTACTTTTTTCCGAATTAATCAAGACGAAACATATTGAAATGTTCTTGAATTGAGAACCTTGTTATAGAGATATAGGATAGATAGATGAATTACTTATTTGTATCTACAGCACACAAACGTAATAGCAATACAATAATAATGAAACAACCAGTACGAAAAAAATTACGTGCATCGCAGCGCCATAGAAAGCTTATTGTTTCGCCCTGAAAAGGGCAAAATACCGATATTCTGCTATAACCAATAAGAAAACAGCTGCGAAATTCCCATATTAAAATAAAAAATAATGAACTAATAACTAGCGGACCTCGCGACTTCGTACATTCCTAGATCGTTATCTAGATGTAATCAAACGACAACTATAAATAATGCAATCTTTTATTCGGTTAATTTATGAATCATAGTGTAGGTACTAATAAATGGTTTCATTTCTAACATTTAATGATTTATTTTTACAACTTAAATTAGTTATTTGAGGGGTATGTTTCTCAGTTTTTTAGCCTTTAGATTGAATCGTACTTAATGACATATTCTGTGAAAAAACCATCCTAATTCTTACAGCCATGTTTACTGTGAAACTAACAGATAAATAGACAAACAGACACTTTTCGCAGCGTACGGATTTTTTATACGTAAAGATAAAAATGATAAAATATTTTCTAAAATTACCTAATCCTTTATTTTCTATATATATATTTTTTTGTTAACATAGTAATAACAAAACGTATCAAGTTACTCCAGCTATATAACTTCCTCATTTCCACGGGTTTGGGTACTGTAAAGTGTTGCACTTAGTTTAACTTAGGTACGTGATATTACATACGAATGAGGGGTGAACGAGCGAATGTGCCATAATACGAATTTGATATTTGTAGAAGTAGGTAAGTACACTGGGTTATGGTTGTCATGTTACAAAGTGGCAGTTGACGCCTACCAGTAGGTTATTTATGAGATTTACGAGGGGCGTACCTTTGTTATTCTCTAGTTTATCATTTAACTTATACTAGTCGTCCATACTTCATATAAATTTTATGATATAACTGTATAGAGGCATTATTTAGTATATCTATTTAAAAAAAAATACGTAGAGGTACCATATTTTTGCTTTTTTCTGTAATGACGCTTGTATAATTAATTAAATTAAATTTATAATAAAATTTGGTACACAGATGATGTTGATAATGAACAAATTCTCTAGTTTCTCATAATATACTTTGTGTTCTAATTCAAGCGAATCTAACCGCAGCAGTTTACATGTTAATTGTTTTCTAGTTTGTAGCGAGCAGTGGTCATATTACAGTGAAAATTTTCTTTTATGGTGTATTATCTGTAAGAAAATTGACGTTTATTACTAAAATTTGATTATTTCTAGAACAACTCAACTAATTTAGTTCATCAATTTTGTCAAAGTAATTGATGTCTAAACTAAACTAATTCTTTTTGGCATCGTCAATCTACGATTAAATATGAGTCAAGTTGAATGTACCAGAATAGAATAAAACTTCTTTTATTGTTAATAACCCTATTTTCATAGTAGCATAGGTAATATTATAATAAATCTTATAACTATCGTCTTGGTTTCCATTTTACCACCAGCATGAGTTCAAGAATATTATTTTGTTTGAGTACGGTCGAGGGTTCCTAAACCTGGAGGTTATATCCTAATCGGCAATGCGGAATTAAGTGCTTGATACTCGAGCCACCCTTGTTGGTAAGGTAAACGCCCCACTGTCTGTAAGGCCGTCTCGACAAACTACAATATTAAAACGACATACAAGAAAACTTTGTCATGCAAATAAAACAAAGTACACTACTTACTAACTTCAATTTGCAAATGACAGGTCTAAACGACTTATTTAGATGATAGGGGTTCATTGTCACAGTTAGTAATTTACCTACTGTTTCAATTCCTATAATACATATATGAATATGTAACAAAGTTTACATGTACAGTAAATTCTGACAAATCTTATACAATAAAGATTTTCTAGACTTTTAATGCTATTGATTTGTGGTCATATCGATATTGCTCGGAATATATTCGCTACATTAGTTATATTTGGTAGCAATTGCCCTGTTAAGGCATTACCTAAGGTTTACTTTAAAGATGTATAATTAATGTACGTGTTTAGTTTTTTATTTATATTTCCGTAACATTTGAGTTTGATTCGATCATATTAAAGATTATTATTTGACATCTTTTCGAATCCGACTGTATGTGAAAGTGTGCCTGCAGTTTAAGCGTAGATCACGTTACATATACACGAATAAATACCGTTGATTGAGAATATTATTTTTGACATTCAGCTGAAATTAAATAGAAAAACAAAATGATATACGAAATTAGTTCGCATACAGCTGGAGAAAGTACGCCTTTGTCATAGTCACACGAGATCGCAGTTACATTGCTGTGTGAAGTTTCATTAATGTGACATACATACCTACCTAATAGTCGCTAACGAACCATAATAATAACTATTGTTAAGTTAATAAAACTATGGTTTATTTGGAACACCATCTGGTTTTGATGATATTTTAATACATTACAACTGAAGGTGTTCAGTTGTCATTTCATTTCTTTTATAACTAAAGAAATGGTCCATTTCATAATTAAGAAATAATGTTATTGTAGGTCACATTATATGGATATGTGTTAAATTTTGGTTACATTACTTTGATAGCTGGTATTTACTTAAACATTTAAGACTCATTTGATGGAAGGGCTACGATAAATATCACTGACAGCGAACAAAATATCATGTCGTCCGTGATACTTTTATGCATTGCCATTCCTGAAAACTAATGTGCTGTATCAGTAATTTTATTGACATAATATTGTTATTGCTTCAAATATGACCTAGCAAAGAATGTGATTAGCGGCAGAAATAGATGGGATGGGCGCATGAAAACGACTGTGTAAAAGATCCCAATGATTCAAATTATATTGTCAGGGGCTAGTGATAGAGTGTTTGAATTCTATTTTATATTAAAGAAAAAATACATAAAATAATTATTAGATTACCTAATAGATGAATATTAATCAATGGTCCATAATTTAGAATACTACTCATAATTTACTGCACTTATGTAACAGAATGCGAAGTGAAAATTGAAATTACAATTAATTAATTTATATAAGAGCATACAAATGGTTAAAATGTCTTTTGTAATAACAATACTCGTATGATAATAGTAGAAAAGCTTATAATATGATTCGTGCCGGTCTCTGGAGACGCCGAGCGTTGATTTGCCGTAAGTGTGTCAATGTACGCGAAGAGATTTTCTTTCATGCATTACCGGTTACCAGTTAGGAATTCTATTTATGCATATGTAAATAAAAACTAGCTTACCATACTGTCGACAATCCTTAATAATCTGAAAATCCTTTAAATTGTTCACTTTCTACCAACACTGTCACGTATAAGATTTAGTTTATTCTTTCCTATAATTCACCAATAGCTTGTCATCATTGGGTCACAACGGTGGGAAGGAGGTCACTTTCGATTAGGTGAAGAACCAGTATTCTGTTTATACCGGTGGAAGCAAACCCATGTCTGCGCGATGGATGCGCTCGCGGCTATCGGCAGTTGCGGACTGTCTGACTGCCTTGTGACTCCCCACCATTGGCATTGCTTCGTGACCTACACCCAGATGGTGCTGCCGCATCGACTCCGGTAAACAAACGGTTCACCGACCGATTACACTCGAGGATCTTCAAGCGGTGTTGTGTCGCTCAGCTTCTGTCCGTATCGGGGCAACGCATTTGTAATTCAATGCTAACGGTTCTTAGCGTTAAAGCGTTCTCTGTTATTCTCTCTTCTGGGTCGTGGCATACAAATCACAACGAAATTATTCAGATCCATATAGCTTGGTATCAGGTGCCCATTATTTTGATACGATGTGAAAACCTGCCTAGTTCAGTCATGTGTCGTTGGAGGCTGCGAAATTAGCATACGCGAAAGAGAAAACGTTCCGCATATTGCGCGAGTCTTCGAGTGTTCTCTTGATTTATTTACGTTCTTCATGAGGTCTACCCAAATTGCTCCAAGTGAAAGTTAAAACGATGTAAGTTTTACGTGACATTCGCCGTTTGTGCATACGTATGTACATGTGTGATCGCTGCGTTACTCAACTTATTGTAATTTATATAATTAATATTACATAATTAGAGGCTGCGTAAGTAGCTTGTTAGTATTTATCAATCAATACATACCGTTTTCACTGTACGTATAAGTTTTAACTACTTTAAGATGTGCTTTGTATACATTCATTTCATGACTTTTTATATTATTTTATAACAATAGAACTTTTATAAACAATATTGAGACAGTTAAATACGTAGGCGATAGTTTATTTTTGTAGTATAACTTAAATATTACAAATAATTATGTGGTATATTGTTTGTCGACAGAGTTGCAGAGGGCAATCCCAACGCTCGCACATGCTTACTTCATCAAAAATTACAGCTTCTCAATTGTTGCATTAAAAGAGCACAAGATGGCACCGGAAATTTTACTGGCACCTCTTCGGATGATGAATTTTATGATTGTTCTGAAGGAGAGGACGGTGAGGAACAGCTTCCGTGGAATAGACCCGTGGGGAGACTTCATCGTCTTGCAGATGCTACTCTTAAATCTGGGGCGCCTCTATATGTGCCAAGGACTCAGGTTAGTTTTAGTTAAGTAGGTCATATGAATATTTTGGCAGGATAGAACCTATTGCGGTTCTAATGTCCACCTTAACTAGACGATAAAATGTGAGTGGATAAGATCAATATTTTTATGTATAATAAATTTTTATATACGTACATATAGTTTAAAGCTTATGTATAAAAAGAGACGCCTTTAATTATCGCTGAATACTCTAAAATTACTTGTGGTTAGATTTATAAAACTGTTTTTATAAAAATATTTCTGCTTGCGAAGGACAATAGACCTATTACTGCACTACTTTATTACCGCCCGTTTCTTCTTCGTTCTGGTTCAACAATATACTTAATATATAGCTTACTAGCCATGTGCCGCGTATTTATTTTAGAAAAAAGATTCTCATGATAAATTCTAGTAGGTAATAGAATTCATTAGGATCAAAATTTATAATTCTCCAAATTAAAATTTCATTGCGATACGTTTAACCGTTTAGTCCTAAATAGTTAAGTTAATTTAGTAACAAACAGGTAGACGTACTTAATATTTATAATATATAATTATAATATTCATCATAAACACTGTACTTTATAAAGTGAAAGAAATTATTAACACATCAATTAAAAAATCAGTCTATGTTAGTGCAGACAGTTTATAATATTTTTCTTATATAATAGCGCTTAAGAAATTATTTGCGATACGGACTCTACTGTATCGCCAATAATTTCTTAAGCATGTCTATTTCGGTAAGCCTCTGTTAAACTGTATTGGACTTCTTCTGTGTAATTGAACTTTTAATGTATAGGACCCTGCACCAAAAACCGAGGATCAACTAGAGGAAGATGCCGAGCTGATGGTACGACTAGGAGACGATGCTCGCGCTTCCGAGCTTCGAGCTAGAATGATGAGTGCATCATTGTTATCAGATATGGAGGCGTTTAAAGCGGCAAACCCCGGTGCAGAGTTGTGTGATTTTGTACAATGGTACTCTCCACGCGATTGGAAATCTGATAATGGTGGTGAGCTGGGAGATCGAATGCTTTTACCGGGTAACCCTTGGGCAGAAACTTGGAGTGTTGCTCGGCCAGTTCAAGCCGCACGCCAACGAAGACTCTTCGACGAGACTCGTGAAGCGGAGCAAGTTTTGCATTTTTTGCGTTCTCGATCAGTAAGTGCTGTAACTGAACTTCTTTTACCTGCTATATTAAAAGCAGGCGCAGCGAAAGCGATAGCAGAAGGTGCTCCAGGAAGTACTACGTGTATTGGTGGAATGGACAAAAGGCGCACTTTCGAGATAGCTGCCCGAGAGATCTATGAAGCCGAAATAGAGGCATGTAGATCCTTTTGTGTGCGTACCGTCCTCGACAAAAGTGTCGAAGGAATGCCTTTAGATGCCGCCGGACGTACTAGAATCTTAAATGCAGCTGGTGGTACTCTACCACCGCCAGCACGACGGGAGTTCTCTCTAAGAGTTAAGGATGCTGTATCCCCGCAAGTGATGAGAGCAGCTTTAGCGACTGATATGACCATTATAGGTGCGTTTACAGAAAGTATTGTGTGTTTGTAGCAGAGTACTGACGATATGTGAACGGTGATAAGTCTTCCTATTTAAATCATATATTTCAACAGTGTGTCGATTATCTTTTGTATATATATCGATTACTTTTATAAATCTTGTATTGTTGAAATTAAGTGTATATTGTGTAGAAGTTTAGTATATAATTAGTGAAACGATAAGATTACGTTGATGATTTTAGATTTTTACATCGAAGTATGTTTTGAGTTTCGGAATATATTTATAGATACTAAGTAAATGCGCTAGCTTATATTTTTTTTTTATTTAAATTCAATTAATAAACTGTTAAATTTTCATAAGTAGTCGCCTATGTTATTTTAAAGAATAACTAAAGTACAAAGCTGGTTTACAATACCTTACCTAAATTTCGATCTCCTTGACATGACCTCTCGTGCCGCCCGCTTACCAGACCAATTAACTTTATGTGGAAAAGTTCATTCATTTAGCAATTTCATGTCATTTAACGTCTTCTAATTATCGATATCCTGCGTGTTATTTGTTGGATATTTGTCTAATGATAAAACTATTCGCGGTTCCGATTAAATGTTTTATCTACAATCCTGAGGTTTGATTTTGATTCTAAGGATACCAATCCTTAGAATCCATCGAATCTATATATTAATTTTTTGACTATAGGATAATCCATCTTCACTATTATGAGTTACGTGTTAGATAGAGTAAATATTAGTGATTTGAAATTGTAAGATCATAAAAATATTTATATTTCAGGTACTTACAAAGATTTTCAGTCAGCGATTAAGACGATTAAATCTCTTATATTCTAAATCCCGTTAATAAGATTTATTTGCCGACTTGTCCGTCTCATTGGCGTTAATGAAACAAGGCAGAATATATACGAGCAGTTGGCTCATCTTTGTGGAACTGTAAGGGAACATGTGACGTCATATTCGTGATCCTTATGCTATATATCACGGTCTCAGTATTACGGTCGCAGCCACTCATTTGTACCTTAGACGATTATGATGCGGACGTTGTATGTTTCGTATTTGGATGGATGTAAGCATGCGTGTAATCTACACGAGCGCGCAATGTACAACCGGATCCGTAGTGTTGGGTAGAGGCGTGGGTGTCGCGACAATGCGGCGCATGCGCGCGGCTGCCACGGCCGGGAGCCTCGCGAAATCGCTCAGTGGCGCGGCGGGATGGCCGGTCGATTCCAGGGCGCGCGCAAATACACCTCTGGAAACCGAATGAACCGTAAATTCCACATGAAAACGACATAAAAGTGAAAATTGTAAATGTGATTATCGTCGTAACGTTTCAGTGCTGTAAATTTAGTGAATTCTCGAACAGTCGAAGAAGGTTTGATGAAAGAGCACTTTAAATTTTTACTCGATATTTATGATAGGAGCATGGGACATTATCTGAACACCTGTCGTGTGATAACAAAGCAGTTTTACAGAATTGGGTTTTAGTCAACCATTGTGTACGGATTAAATAACAATTAATATAGTTCTGTCAAGTGTTGTTGTTTCTATTATTGTTGTGAGACTTTATTATGAGATCTGATAAGGAAATTGAACAATTGATAATATAGAAGTGGGTAGGTATGTTCTGACGAGCTTTCGTAAACGAGAATGAGCAATAAGTACATGACACTAAAGGTAAGTTTTATTTGAAAAATAAAAAGTTATTTTACATTGTCGAAGCTATAAAAATAGATAATAGTTAGGTAGTTAAATTATCGAATGTAAAACCGAATTCGAAAATTATATATTGTACAATACATACTGTTAGTAGGCCCAGTTACTTGTATTTTATCTGCCAATAAAATATTGAATTATAGATAGGTATGTACACAGATATTATTATTATTTATTTATTACTGGATTTCTCCAATGTTGTATATTTAAAAGCTTTTAATCTGTTATCATTTATAGGTGCCATATATTTACTCTGAATCTGACTTTATTCGCGGCAAATGATAAACACATCATCGATTTGAACATTCTCCATTTTGAAATGGGTTGAAAATTTATCACTATTTTTAATCTAAAATTAGACAGAATTGGAGAATAAAACAATATAACTGCATAAAAGAAGCAAAACTCAATATTTTACTTTACCGCATTTACATTAGACATCTCGAAATATTTCGATATACTTAATTCCAATCCATTTTTTGTTATTGTGACAAGGCAATAAAGTGTTGTTAGATTATTTAGACAATAAATTCTATGTTTTGAGCGTGTCTGAAACCATGGTATACTTATTACATTTTTACTAAACACCCTTTATATATCTATCCTATAAGGGATAAGATACACTTGCCGGTCGAAAGTAATTTTAGATTAAACGATGGGTCGTCGCCATGTAAATGAGCGGTCAGATCAGCTAATTTTTGCATTAAACGGGAAATTAGGTATCCTTTGATAAAGAGCTGATTTTAAAACAAAATGTTATAAGGGTCAAATCAGGAGGTTGTGACTTCGTTCTCTTAAGAAAACCTTTGATTACGTTATCCTCATAGTTGAGTAAGCATTTATTTTTAGTTATTTATTAGTAGGGGTAGTAGCAAAGTTAAAAATATCGTATCTAGTTAATTTTAGATAGAGGTTATTTTAGAAAATTATCTTAATTGCTTTAAGAGATTAGCAGTTATATTAATAAATAACCCTTTAATTCAGAGACCTTATTTATATCTTACAACAGGTTGCTATTACATCAAGGCTAGCTTAAACACATAAATTATACAAAAATGAATTGTGGTAACACGTTGCAGCTGGTCGTCGAACAGAGAAGTATACAAAACTCGCATTCCGTATTCTGAAAATAAATTTAAAAGCATAATACTTTTAAAATCACTAGTATCCTGACGACTTAGGCGTAATGCCGGTTAGTCAGGGAGAGAAACACCTCAATGCCTACAATATTCACAATTACCTATCTCTTATTTGTTTTTATAATAATATAAACACTTTCGCTCCAAAACTCCCGCTGCCTACGTTCAATCCTCCGTCATCCACTTGTCAATGTCACATAGATTACTTTGGCTCTGGCCTCTGACGTTCCGTTTCAGGTTACATGATTATTGACTTTACCATTTTTGATTAATGGTGCGTCACACGATAGTTAACAGTCGGCCATCCTGCAATAGTGTCTGGCCCAGACACATAGGTAACTGATGAGCGTAGTCATGCTTATCAAAGGATATAGTGTCTACAGGATCATATAACAAATACTAAACTAAATAAACTAAAGATACACATTACTTTCATAACATTGACTATCTTAGTATACTGTCAAAGGTTTACAATCTAAAATCAATACTAACAGAGCTAAGTTTCGGCATGCATTCAGAAATGCACAAAATATAACATATATTAATTTACATAATCCAAATCACCCAAAAACATGAACAACCTTTTAGAGTAACAAACAATTATTTGGCGGTGATTGACTTCTATGAGTCAGACTGTAACATATCACCATCACAATGTAAGTTTCCGATCTTATGAACATTGCATTTTTTTTTTATACCTCCAAAATAGAACTTGACATTTCTCATCATGAATATTTTAACGGATAAATTTAACATATCACATTACAAAAGGTAAAACTTAATTACCTACATATATAGAGAAAAAAATATAAAGAGAAAGTAATATTCTCGTGACATAAAATTAGAACAAAATCGCTGCCTGCCTTCACCTAACCAATAGAAAATAACAGGTCAATATTATTCAAATGGTTCTAATACCCTCAATACTACTACTACTATTTTACTTCGACGATACTCTTGATTTACCAGAGAATTATTTTAATATAACATAATTCATTGAATTTCAGTTATGATTTACTTAATAATACCATCAGCTCACTGGTCAAGTAATCTATTGCACCCTTTGAACCCTGTACATTTAGGGGACTATAAATGATTGTAGATACTGATCTCAATTTTCTTTACAACACCAGTTTAACATAAACCAAAACCCACTGTTCCAGATTAATGTGAAATAGAAATAATCTTTATTCAAATAAACTTAATATAAGCACTTTTGAGTAGTCAAGTTTTTTGAATCTATCGCTTATTCGGAACGCAGATTCATCACAAGAAGAATAAACAAGAAACCTGTGTGTTGCTCTTTTAAATAAATATTGATTTACTTATATTTAATTAACAACAAGGATTAGGCATGCGGCAATCAACATAAAAACCGCTACGCACTTAATCTCCGTTCAATCAGACAACATTGACAGCGCTATGAATTTCAAGTTAGATATTTTCTAAAAAACACTGATTTATAAATGATGACATTTATAAATTCTTCAATTTTATAATAAGCTTTTTTTTTTTTACAAAGAAAATATTTTATGACACATTTGATTTCTTTTTCTGGCAAATTGAGTACAGACTCTGGGAGTTTGTTGTAAAACCTTGCGCAATTTCCATAAAACGAATTACTAACTTTCGTCAAACGAACGTGAGTTTAGTAAGCCTACTATTCACTTTATATTTAATCGATGGTATTCGTAGCCACTTCGGCCATCCAACGTTATCGAAGGGCCTCATTCGATATTATCATAACAGTTAACATCGGGTAATATAATAAAATTAAAATCATATAAAATTTAGTTTGAGATAATTTACATACTTAAAATATGAAAGTTGCCACTGACAACTACACATTACATTTCAACATCATGAATTCAGTCTTTGTTATATTTTTCCGCCTTAAGTTGTATCACTTAATTTTTCACACCAGGTACTAGTCAGCATCTCTGCAAACACGGCTGCCTAGCTAATTAGTGAAATACCTGTTAAAACAAAACATTAAAAAAATGCCACCGCTTGCCCACTATGAGCTACGGTCTCAACAGATCTGGATTTTATTAGACTCAGCCACCGCTTGCCCGCACAAGGAGCTACGGCCTCAAACTGGTCAAATTCTCATTAGACTCAGCCACCGCTTGCCCACACAAGGAGCTACGGCCTCAAACTGGTCAGATTCTCATTAGACTCAGCCACCGCTTGCCGCCACAAGGAACTACGGCCTCCAACTGAAACACATCAAATATTTAACAACTGGTCATTTTCTCAATGAGGCATTCACCGCTTGCGCACGCAAGGAGTTACGGCCTCCAACTAGTCATATTCTTTATGGTACTATGCTATTTTTACTTCAGCCTCAAGTGCTCTACATTGCAACTCAACTATGGGTTATATGCACTCCCATCAAATTTTACTATTACTTTTTATTCTATTACATTTCTTTAAGAACTGGATTTCCTGGTTCCATTTTACTATTTCTCCAACGCTTTAAAGGACTTTATAACATTTAATCATAAGTTAATTCAATTTAATTATGTACCAAATTCGAATTATATATCTGGTTGATATATATCTATCAATTTCTGAACGAACTTGCAATATATTACTACCACATACCCTACTCCTATTATTATCTACCAAATCTTGAGTAGCATCAACAAAAAGCGAGTCGTTCGTTGTACGTCGCATTGAGCACACGCGGATCCCCATTTTCTCCGTGAACTAACGTATACGGAACCATCAGCCGCGATCTCAGCGCAATCATCTCATCAGTATATCATCAAATCTAAATCACCATCATTTACCTTAAAATCCATAAATCGTATTCATAGTCATATGATTATTATATTAATCTCATAATTTCATCAAAGTATTGCAAATCATTTTTCATTGTCATATCAACCGCCCGTTCTATTAGCCATTTTGCTCATAATTCAGCTTGTCATCGATTGTAACTCATCATTGTATCACTAGCATTCCTTAATCTTTCAGATCTATTCGTTCATGTACAACTCTTCACCGCGTATATTTACCGACTATTTTCCATCGAGGTGTATCAAATTTTACCTTGTGATCGTCCTTACTACAATCTTGCAGTGTAACTATCTTGTACACCTCGAGCGCTTTATTCATAATATTTCTAAAGTGTCTGTATACGGTGTCTGGGTTCTATAAATTAGCACCTCTTCTAATTTCCCATTAATTACAACACATTTTCTAAAATATTCTGCGTATTCGGCTGTAACTTTCTGCTTACTAGCAGACCATGTTATCAAGCCATTAGTTATATTTAAATTCCAGACACATAAAATCAGTTCTGAAAGGATTAATTTCAATTTAAACTATTTAGTTAGTACAATAGTCAATCCGATTTCTCCAAAGGGCGTTCAGCCACACATACAAGTGCATATAGGTGCTCAGACTAATCTATGGAATCAAATGCCCAGCATTTGATTGCGTTGATCATTACTTATAAAAATTTTAACTTCCGTCGTCGTCAAAGACAACGCTTTAAATTTAATTCAATCTTATTTATCTGATGAATATCAACCAAATATTTGAAAACAACATCACCGTTATTATTATAAACTTCCAATATCTCTACACCTGTAATTTTGTACAATTCAACATTAAAACACCCTCACTTATTTAATACATCCGTTCTCGTATGCTATGCAAGTGACAACATCAATTCTTATATGTTGATGAGTTCACTATTAAAAGCCTTAGTTAACACTTTTATTTTACTTCAACTCAACAATTATGTCAAAAGTTACAATGGTCTAAATACAACACATCCAATCTCATATTCAAGTCAATTGAGTCAACATG